ATGATATCACAACTAAAATGTACAAAGATGTTACCATCCACTCACCTTTATTCAAGAAAGTGAATCAAAGGCTCAGAAAAGTGTACATGGTCTTTGTCCAGCAATTCCTCTTCAAAGATTATGCCCTGAGGAAATATCAGACAAGTTTACAGATATGTCTGTACAGGAATGGTTATCACAATGCTGTTTATGTAACTAGCTTATTGAATATATTAATTCAGTGGGGTAAAAACTTTATTGCCTATAAGCTCTGCTGAATCTCCCTTTCCTACTCCTCAAAAACATTGTCAGATATCAGGAGGATTTGAGAAAAAAAGGGTGAATGTTTCTGTACATAACAACAATCATAGATGCTGTCTGCATGTAGGGTATCCAGATGCTCTCTCTCTCTCTCTCGTGCTCTCGCACCATGTGTGAGGTCTTCATGGCGTTTCCTAACCACTTCCAATCCTTTTCCAGCTCCTGCCACTGAAGGTCCACTCCCCAGCTCTTGCCACCAGAGTCCTGATGGTCAACCTTCTTATGTGGGGTGCTAGCAAAATGGCTTAAGCCTGGCTACATTTCAAGGTGTCTTATTGACCCAAAGACAACACACTCAACCTTACACATGCCAAACTGAGACTGCAGGTTCTTCCACTTCTGACCCTTTCTTGGTCCAACCCCATCTCTCTTCTCTCTTGCCTTCCTTTCCCCTACTAAACCTGGCATGAGGACAAATCACCAAGACCTGCAGTTGTCTGAGGAATAAAATGCCTGTGTTCCCTTCTTACATGCACTTCTAGCTTCACTTGGTTTGGCTGAATTCAGAAGCTCCCCAACCAGGCCAGAAACTCATGACTCTAATGAGTCCCCCAATTTTTAAGCTACTGCTTATATAGACTAGCGACGTGGGTGATAGGGTATTGGTGTCAGGACCAGATCTGCTACGTCTTATAAATCCTACAGATACGTGTCGGGGGTGCGGTCCTTGGGAGCTTTCCATAGCTGATTGCTTTCAGCTTTGGGCTATATTCTTCATTCCAAGGCAACGGGAGAAGTCCCATTCAGTATCCTATGACATTCATAAAAGCAAAAACTAGAAATAACCCAAATATCAAAGAGAAGATAAGTTGAATAAATTATAGCATACCTGGTAAGTAAATATTTGGTGTTATAAATGATGATCCAATTCTACATTTATTGACATGGTAAGATGCTCTTGATTTATTGCTAAGTGAGAAATGTTAGTTATAGAATAATATGTTTCTGTATATTACTATTTACTGTTGTGTAAAAGGAGGAGCCCTGGTGGCACATTGGTTAAGAGCTTGGCTGCTAACCAAAAGATTGGCATTTCAAATCCACCAGCTGCTCCTTGGAAACCCTATGGGGCAGTTCTATTCTGTTCTATAGGTTTGCTGTGAGTTGGAATCAACTCTACGGCAATGTTTTGGGGTTTTTTGTTTGTTTGTTTGTTTATTGTGTAAAAAATAGTCTGGAGTAATACATGCCAAAACATTGTCATTTTACATCAAGGGTCAGCAAACTACTGCCTGAGGACCAAATCTGGCCTGCACCATATTTTTTAAGTCAAGTTTTATTGAAACACAGCCATGCCTATGATTGCTTTTCCACTACAATGGCAGAGTTGAGAAGTTGCTGATGAGACATGTAGCCCTGAAAGCCTAAAATATCTACTGTCTGGTGCTTTACAAAAAAAGTTTGTTGACTTTTATTCTAGAAGATGGAATCAAGAGGGGTTTTAATTTTTTTAAATTTTTGTCTAACTTTATTCTTAAAGTTTCTCCTTTGAACATATATTTATTGTATGAAATACTTGTCTATTATTAAATTATTGAAATACGATTAGAAAAGACTAAATATATTAATAAAATTAAATCTAAGAGCAAACTTTATAAGTGAAATAATAAAAATTTGATTATACTTTCCAAAGTTCTAATTCAATATAAGCCGTACAGTGTCGGTAGAATATTATTTTGATTGCTTTTAAAATTAAGACCTGTACACGATGTAACTGTTCCATTTACCACCAGGATTAGTTTCTTAAAACTGCTTTCAGAACTTTGGGCTTTTTTTTTTAATCTTTGGTATTGAAATATTAGTCCTCTGATGCTGTGTTTGAATAATATAGTGCTACATTTGGTGAATAAATCTTTAATTTGAGTAAAGATTTTGGAGTGAAAAATAAGGGTGACAAATATTGAATATTGTGAATAAAATGTGAATAGAAAATATTGATTTTATTCACATAGTTTATCAACGAGATTTGAAAGCAGTTTCAAAAGAGGGGTTTCCAAAATGTTTGAGCTTTGGAATGAGTGAATCAATGTGGAATCTCCCAAGGAGGCTACTTCGAAGGACTGAGTTCACTTGGATGCATAAATTATGGATGTTTGTTACAAAAAGCAATTCTGATGTAGCTAAGCGAATTTTGCTTCAAAATCCTGTAGGGTAAAACCTTAAAAAAGATGTTTGAGTAATTAGGAAATAATTAAGACAGTCAGAAGACCCACTAATTAACATTAGGTGAGGGAATACTTAAAAATGGAATTTGTATTAACCAGATGTTCCAGATGACATGCATCTTTATTACAAGACACAGAAGTAAACAGTACATTAATTAAACTTTCAAATACTACAAAATAAGGAGGCTTCATAAATGCCAGTAAGGGAAGAAAAAAGATAGATAAAAATATCAAGCAATTAGGAGTAGATATTATAATATGATTAGGTTTTGAAGCTTATAAATTTACACATCCAGAAAGTATGGCACAATTTAAATATCTATAAATTTATCATTGACTTTCCTGATTTTTTTTGAACTAGCTGATATCAATCCAACGGAACCATGGAACCATTTACATAGTTCCAAAGTTAAAATTTACCAATAACATTCTCAAAGATTAAAACTCTGGCCTACCTGGGAGAAAATATTTAAAATATAATTTATCTAAATGTCTTATCATATAAATGTTAAACATACCACACCTGTCAATATTTTTTAAAAGAGAAAGTTTTGCCCTGAGGATCTATTTTAATAGTTTTAAAATATCCTCTGCCTTCTGATTCAATCCACCTTTATAATAATATCTCCCATTGCCATCATCTGTGCTCAGCTACCAGGTATCCACCAAGCAAACCCTGTGATCTCTAACCCGTAAGGGTTTCTTCATGCTTCTGCTTCTAACAATTTCCTTCGCACCCCTTTTCACCTCTATTCTATGCTTATCTAAATCTGACCTTCAAAACACAACCAAAATGCCACTTCTTTATGAAAAATGTCTCTTTCTTCCCAACCAGAAGTAATCATTTCCTGCTCTATGCTCTCATGCCTCTTAAAGTTTCTATCATACATTTTGGGTCTTTGAATGACTACCTTATTTCCTCTACTAAACTGTTACTTTCTTAAGGTCTGTACTTACTTTATTGACTATTCTCTTCAGGGTCTAGCATACTATCAACAATTAGCAGATCGTTAGTATACGTTTGTTAATGAATAAATGACCTCTTTTGAAAATGAGATATGAAAAGAAAATTTGTTTAATTTTTCTTAAAGAAATAGGAATACAGAGAAAAATAGAATTTTATCCTTTTTTCAATGTAAGCTGAATCAGATGATTGTTGACTAGGATAGATATTTCCTTTAGATTTTAGCAAATATATCATCTCCCACCATTTCTGGTGAGTCCTAAAAGCTTTGGTTTGCCCCATATGCAGAATCTCATGACAAAACACAGGCGTACACGACCTTGTCACTGTTCCCCAGTCAATCCTTCCCTCTTGGTCATCCAGGCCAATGGTACACACTTCCAAATTAGCTAGGGCAATTAACAATTATATTTTCAGTTTTAATTCCTTTTCTTTCTTATTGAGAGCTTATCAGCATATCTGTAGACATTTTCTAAGAGCGCCAGCTCTGTTAGGATTAAATATGTCATGAATTTTGTTGCTGCCTAAGAAGCTCCAGTTTCTTTCCCAAAGGAGCTACTGAACAGAGCCTGTCTTGAACAGCAAATGAACCCCAATGAGGTAGATTTGTTAAAGTCACTCTGACCCCTCTTACAGCCTACGCATGGGCCTTGAGGATTGTAAACATTTAGTAGCTACATGATCAAAATGCCAAGATGTTTGTAAGTGGTTTGGCTAATCCTCGTATTGTGCTTATGGTTAATGTTAGTATTTGGAACTTTTCATTTAGACTGGCAGTAATTAATACGCATAATGAATGGAATCCTTGCCTCTTGTACTTTGGATAAATTGCAGTGACATTTGAAGAGCAGCAAAAACTTAACTACTCATAGCTGAAATTAACCATGTTTCTTTCGTCCCCTCTATCCCACACTCCAAAGTTAAAAAGTTTAACTTGATGTAAAAACTGAATTTTAACTTTGTCATAATTAAAGCATGAGTAGTCAAATGAAACTAGCATTGCCTAATGACTTCTTTCACGTTACCATCATATTATGTAATAGTGTTGGAGGGTAGCTGATTGTATTATATATTAAAGACTTCCCTGGAGTATGATTTACAACTCGAGGATATCAGAAAGGAAGTTATCTGCTCCAAGTGGGAGGACAAAGTCACCATGATCTTGGGGTGGACTAATACGGAAACTGATGTCTTGAAGTTCTGCTTAAATCAAGCTCAAGGAACTAAAATCTGTGCTGCGGTAAAAACTACGTATACAAATCAAATTTCCATTTTGAATTCCTTTATGGTGATTCATCTGTGTTTGTATCATATATAAGGAGCCCTGGTGGTGCAGTGGTTAAAGCACTCAGCTGCTAACCGAAAGGGTAGTTCAAACCCACCAGTGGCTCTGCAGGAGAAAGATGCGACAGTCTGCTTTCATAAAGACTTACAGCCTTGGAAACCCTATGGGGCAGTTCTACTCTGTCCTATAGCGTCACTATGAGTTGGAATCAATGACGGCAGTGGGTTTAGTTTGGTGTTGGTGTCATATTTGAAGCTTTAAAAGCATCTCTCTTTGTCTCTCTTAGAAGATAAAGGGAAGTTAAAAGCCAACAGTTCCAGTCAGCCGTCAAGCTCTGAAGGTGGCTCATTTCTCCTCAAATGTGGCACAACACCCCTACCACCTGGAGCAGCCACTTCTCCCTCCAAGAGCACAAACGGAGTTCCTGGTACTCTTTCTGAATCAGAAGAAGAAAAAGCCAAAAAATTACTCTATTGTTCACTATGTAAAGTGGCTGTGAACTCCCTGTCACAGCTAGAGGCACACAACACAGGTTAGCAGCTATCTTTTGAATTTAAATATTTATAACAAAATACAACTTTTCCCATCAGAATACCATATCTTTTGTTGTTCAAACAGCTTTGTTCAATGTCATCTCTATTTTTTTCATTCAAAGGAGTGATTTTTAAGAAAAGTATGAGCATAATGAAATAGCAAGGCAAAAGCAGGGTGAAAATAAAACTTGTTCTGTTCTTTATTTCCTCGTGATCATCTAATACTCTATAAAACTCATTTTGATGAATATACAAATATTTATGTGCAACGTTCACTGCATCACATTTAGAAGGAAAAAAATTGAAAAAACCTAAATGTCCATCAGTGAGGAAATGTTGAATAAATTATAGTAACCCCATTATAATAGGATGTATTATTCAGCTATTAAAATGTAATGATAACTCCAGACTCTCTGTTAGCCCCAACCTAAAACCATTCCCAAAGCCAACTCTTCAGAAAAAGATTAGACTGGGCTATGACATAAAATGATACTTGTGAAGAGTGTGCTTCTTAGCTCAAGTAGATACATGAGTCTGAATGGGCAGCTCCTGTCCAGAGACGAGATCAGAAGGCAGAAAGGGACAGGAGCTGGTTGAGTGGACGCAAGAAATCTGGGCTGGAGAGGAGGAATGCGCTGTCACAGTATGGCGAGTGCAACTAGGGTCACATAGCAAGTGTGTGTATAAAGTTTTGTATGAGAAACTAACTTGAACTGTAAACTTTCATTTAAAGCACAATTTAAAAAAAATGTAAACATAAGAAAATATGTACATGATTTGATATGTGAAATTTCAGATTGATCCCAATTTTGAAAATATATTTATATTTTTACTATTCAAAAATAAAAGCCTGAAAGGAAATACACTAAAATGGTAACAGTGATTATCTCTGAATGGTGAAAATATGGGTAACCTTTATTTTCTCGTGCTTCTCTACATTTTCCATATTCCTTTCATTTTATATTTTTATATTTTCCCATTTTTACAATGAAAATGATTATATATATAATCAGCATTAGAGTGGTATTTTTTTTTAAGTGTTGAGAACTTCAGCCTGAAGATAAACTTCTCCAAGATAAGAAGAAAAAAAAAAGAGCATCATTTAATTCTTAATAGCTATTTAATACATGTATCCTTCTGTCTTAGGCTCTAAACACAAGACAATGGTTGAAGCTCGTAATGGGGCTGGTCCAATTAAGTCCTATCCTAGACCTGGATCAAGATTAAAGATGCAGAATGGCAGTAAGGGATCAGGACTACAAAACAAGACATTTCATTGTGAAATCTGTGATGTTCATGTTAATTCAGAAATTCAACTCAAACAGGTAATATGCCTTGAATCAGTATTCACTGCTGTTTGGGATCTCCACTTTATTGTGCATCTTCTTTGAGGAGTCCCTGGGTGGCACAAAAGGTTAAGCACTGAACTACTAACTGAAAAGTTGGCAGTTTGAACTCACCGAGAGGTACCTTGGAAGACAGGCCTGGTGATCTGCTTCTGAAAGGTCCAGCCTTGGAAACCCTATGGAGCAGCACTACTTCTGCGCAACATGGGGTTGCCATGAGTCAGAATCAACTCAACAGCAACTAACAACAGCAACAACATAGGATACATACGATATACAACATACAGTTGCTGTGTGGGAGAAAACATCAGTCACCAAGTGTTTAAATGGTTTAAGTCAGAAATTTGAGCACCTACTAAGTGCCAGGTCCTGGGCTAGGTTTTAGAGATAGAGGGATAGATATAACAGTCATCTAGAGCTCACATATCAAGCAGGTAAGATAAGAGAGTTTTCCAAGTACCCAAAATCTGGTTAGGGAGACAGACTCACCTGTAACTCTAGTAGCACCAGGCAAGATCCTATAAGTGTTACAGATGACAGGAAAGGGAGAGAGGCATTACAATTGAGGGGGGAACAAGTTTTCATTTAGAGATCATGGTGATTTTACCCAAACCATCTTGGAACTATAGACCCAGAGCTGGGAATGGAGAGAGCAGCTACAACTATCTAGGAAATATCTTTTACATGGAACAAAACTCACTTTTAGAGCCAACTAATGCATTGAACTTTTCTTTAGCACATTTCTAGCCGGAGACATAAGGATCGAGTTGCAGGGAAACCACTGAAGCCGAAATACAGCCCTTACAACAAACTCCAGCGGAGCCCAAGTATTTTAGCAGTGAGTTCACCTCCTTTGTTCACCTGTTTTGTGAAACTTGCCGGGTTTCAGGGACTGTGGATAAGGAGGACCTAGAGACTAATTGATCAGGAACAGTTTTGAATTTAAATGGCTGTCATAGACTTTCAGAAGTTTTAGAATAAACTGTTTAGTCCCTGCTGTAGGACACCTTGAAGAAAGCCTTCCCAGACAAGAGGAACTGAAACACTTCAAGAGCTGGTACCTTGCTCTTTACCAGGACCGTTTCAAAAGACTAACTTCTTTAGCATATAAAGAAAAGTAAAGGTTCAGGAACAAGGACAAGTGATGCCTGAGGAATCCTGGAATGTGTTGAACCTGGGAAGAGGGATCGGACTGGAACTGGTTTTGTAAAACAAAAATTCGTCCATTTAATATCCTCTTCCTTGCTGGCTCTTAATTTTATGTGAGAAAATAATGTTTGTATTGCTCTCTTTCTGTGTCTACCAGGCATGTTGGCAATCAGCCTGTCTTACCTGCTCTCAATATGTGCTGTTTTCAGTTTCTTTGCAAAAATACCTAGTGGCTCTAGCAGTAGGTGTCATATAAATATCCAGATGGAGGGATTTCACCATCTCCCTGGGACTCAGCCCAGTGTGGGGTTCAGGATGAGGATGAAGCTGGGATTGGCCAGTTGGAGCCGATGCTAAGATTACCTTCCAGCTTCTCCCAAAGCCTCCATCAGATGCTGCCAGCAGGTGTTACCTGCAGTAAGCAAATCCAGCTTGCAAAACTCCTCCTAATTGTGAAAGGGGAAATTTAAGGGTTGATTTTTTTCGTTCAGAAGAAGATTTCACCCTAGGATTCCTTTAAATAGAGAATGTCGCTCGTTCATTTACAATCATTCCCAAAGACAGAAATTTGACTTAGCTGCAACTCTTCAAGGACTACTCCTTAAGTGGCAAATGAGAGAGATGTAATCTGACTATGCTTTCATGACTCTTCTTGGGTCTCTAATGCCCTGAACCCCAGTTACCTAACCTCAGTGCAGCTTGTCTAAGTGAAGTGAAGGGTCACACATATTCTCCCAGTACATCTCTCTCAAGGTGCACTGTAGTTGAAGATTAAGTCTGAATTTTGAATTGAGCTCCATTGCCTAAATAGGAAAACTTCTGGATATATTTTTTATTCCTGCTGAGCAACAGCATAAAATAACACCAGTACCTGTTCAGAGAGGCTTTCGTATGCTCTAGTGCCCAGGAGTAAAGACCACCAGAAAAGAGTTGAAATGGAAAGAAATCAAAGTAAAGCTATGCCAAGAACCACTGAACCTAGCTTTATGAAAATAATCATCTCTTGACTTCTGAGTGTAAAGATTTTTAAAATATAAGGCTTCTTAATATTGATGTTTTACTAATGAAAATCTGTCTGTGGTGTTGTTATTCGAAACAATATCCCCATCCCATTTCTGGTTTTCTCCCTCCATTAGGCAAAACTTGCATTCCAGAAAGATATGATGAAGCCTTTGGCCCCGGCCTTCCTGTCCTCGCCCCTGGCAGCAGCAGCAGCAGTGTCCTCTGCACTGTCGTTACCACCAAGGCCGTCTGCCTCGCTCTTCCAGGCTCCAGCCATACCTCCAGCTCTCCTGAGGCCGGGCCATGGGCCCATCAGGGCCACTCCTGCCTCCATCCTCTTCGCTCCGTACTAGTGTCTGCAAGCTCTGAGACAGTTGAGGCCAGTAGGAAAGTTGAGAAAGAAAGCCAAAATGATTAAGCATTTTGTGTTGCAGTGCCCCTACCCACAAAATGTAGCATCTCACCCCTAACCCCAGCTCCAAAGATAAGTAAATCACTAGATTCAAGAGTGCTTTATAGACCGCTTCTATGATTTAGGGATCTGAGCAGCAAGGCTATGTAACTCTATTCCCTCCTCTCCCCACCCCACCCCCACCCCCCACCATCTGTCTGATTCAATTCGTGTACCTGAGATATTTGGTTTCTTGAGAATGTATTGCTCAGAAAAGAAAAAAAAAAATCACTCTCTGACATTTTTCCCATGGGTGTGATCTGGCTTAGAAACAATATGGAATGTTTTCCTGACAGACTTGAAAATTAGGGTCTTCCTCATACGTCTGTAAATAACTCTGAAATCCAACTGGGCATATACTAGTGTGGAACAAAAAATAGATGAACACAAGTGCTCACTTGTGGATACCATCTTACCAACAGATCACAACGTTTTCTCTTTGGTGTACTATTGTTGACAGGGATTGTGTACTGTTTTAGACCCAAGTACTGTTGTATCTTGTGTAGTACTAGATCTGTATCTCTTGTCTGAATTAAACATTTTTAGTTGCTGTGTAAATGTTAGGAAGCAAAATAGCTTTGAACTTTCTCTTCAAGAGAACAAAAGATAAAGTAATGTATTTTCTTTATTTCACATTTTATTTGGAGATATTTAAAAGAAATAGAAAGCCATATAACATAGCTATAATTACTACCTGTTTGCTATTTTTGGTTAACTTATTTTGTAGCTTCCTCACCAATTTGAGTTGCTAAGCAAATGTATACAAACAGAAAAAGAGCTTCCTAAATTGCACATTTTTGCACCTCTTGTACATTCTGCAAGAAGACAATGAATCCATGTATTTCTACAGAATTATCTTCATTTTTAACTTGTTCTCATTTGTAATGATGCTACATAATTTTGTGGCTCCCTAATGCAATAATGTACAGAAGATTAAAAAAAAAATTTATAATTGAACAACTTGTCCTTCTGTTCACTAAATATGTTGCAAGTCCTGTCCCCATGCCCCCCTTTCTAAGCTGATATCAACAAGACTGGAATGTTTGTGATATCAGGGGCAAGAGGTATCATAAAACAACAAAATAGAGTGAACTCTTTTAGAGCATCTATATCTGCAACCTATAAATGGTAAAATGTCTGTGTATTTTTTTAAATGTATCTTTTCAATAAAAGTACAAAAAATAAAAATCTGTTTGTATTTCCAAAGTTATTTTCTCCGGAGACACCTCCAATTTGAAATCATCTGATGAAAGGTTTTCAGTGGGTGCAAAGATTGCTTCTTGCCTGTTGAGCATTTTCAGCTCTTATTTGCAGCAGATTCATTTGTCCTGTTTATTCATCACAGTTCACAGCATCTGCATGAGGTGAGACTTGACTGCTGTTTTCCCTCTGAATCTTTAAGAAGTTGTGAGTTTTGCCCGAAATCATGGTAGTATCTTGCTAAAAATTTGTGGCTCTGATTTTTTTAAACTTGCTATAAGTCCCTAGCTCGTCTTTTAATGGTGTCCATGACATTTATGATCTCTTTTTGGAGAATCTTACTACATTCCTCCTCCTTTGCCTTCTCTAATCAGCCCACCTTTTTTTCTTCCATTTCATTCTACTACGCTTTAAGCCTCAAGTTCAACACATCACCATATCTATTGCTTAACAAACTACTCCAAAACTCAGTGGCTCAAAATGACAACCATTTTATTATATAACAAACAATTTCATGGGTCAGGAATTCCAGCAGGGCTTGACTAGGCTGTTCTTCTGTTCCACATGGCATCAACAGAGTTCCTTGAATGGTATTCAGCTGGTGGATAGGTTGGGCTGGAGGGCCCAGGATGGTTTCACTCTCTTGTCTGCCTGGATGGAGATGACTGGAAGGCTGGGCTCTGCTGGGACTTCCACCAGAGGGCCTACTCGTGGTCTTTCCAGCATGGTGATCTCAGGTAGTTACACAGCAGCTCAGAGCTCCCAGACAGTGTGTTTCAAGAGGCCTGTGTGGAGAGCAAAAAGTTTCTTATGAAACTGCCTTCAAAGTCATAGCACATCACTTATGTTACATTCTATGGGTCAAGCATGTCACTGAAGCCAACTCAGATTCAAGGGAAAGGAAATTAAACTCCACCTCTCAGTGTGAGGAATAGCAACGAATTTGCCACCATCTTTAATCTCACAGGACCTTGGTGGCACAGTAGTTAAAGAGCTCGGCTGCTAACCAAAAAAAAAGTCGGCAGTTTGAACCCGCCAGTCACACCGCAGGAGAAAGATGTAGCAGTGTGCTTCCAGAAAGATTTACTCTATGAGATGGTTCTGCTCTGTCCTATAGGGTCACAGTGAGTTGGAATTGACTCCACAGCAGGTGGTTTAGCATTTTTGGTTTACTCTATCATCACACTGTTACAGAGTTTTGAGGGGAGAAGTAACACACCCATGACAGAGTCACTTTCTCCCCACCCTAAGCCCAAAGCATGTCAGTTTTTAGAAATGAGAAGACTTAGGGTAGGCGTAGGACTCACTCATATTCTCATGTCTAAAAATTTAAGGCCAATAGGTGGCAGTGCAGCAATAGACCCTCTATCAAAGAGTTTGGAGCCCTGGTGGCACAGTGGTTAAGAGCTACAGCTGCTAGTCAAGAGGTCAGCAGTTTGACTCCACCAGCCGCTCCTTGCAGACCCCATGGGGCAGTTCTGCTCTGTCCTGTAGGGTCGATATGACTCAGAATTGACTCAACAGCAATGGATTTTTGAATATCAAAGAGTTTATGCAACTGTTTGGACATTGTTGCCCTTAATATTCTGGGCTTATAGTCAGGGTAGTTTTAGAGCCTGTTAGGATTACAGTTTGACATTCAGAATTTCGATTTTTTTCAAGATCCGGCTCATTTGAACTCTAACCAAAACCAGTTTCCTAAAACCTGGCTGCACATTCGGATATGGCTTATGGGCATTGTTGTCTGAAGGAATCATGTTTCAGTTTAACACTTTGGAGAAGTTTTTATTTTTAAGGACTTCAGTGGTAGTTATTTTGATTTACCTTGCATTCTCCTAACCTCATTAAAGCTTAGTACAGTCCTCAAATTTTTTTTAATGTCAATATTAAAATAGACCCAAGAATTTGCTGATTAGATTTATGGACTTAAGATTTTAAAAATCACCTCAGGGAGGAAACACAAAAGAATAGCAGTTAATTAAAATCCATGCCTCCAAAAGATGCCATGAATAATTTCTAACTATGTTTTTTGTTTTTGTTTTTGTTTTTGTTTTTGTTTTATTGTATCTCAGATGAAGGCTTACAGAACAAATAGTTTCTCATTAAACAGTAATACACATATTGTTTTATGA